CATTTTGTTGGGATTACTTCTTTTGTGTCTACGTCACACCGATGCTAAGAAAATTAGAAGGGATGAACCGACTATTGTATCCGGTGACATTTACGTAGCTCCTAAAGCTGGTAAGTTCGTATTTGATGACGTAAAACAGTAACAAAATTCGATATACAGTGGGTTTGATGACTTCATTTATAATATTATTAAGGGATTTCTTGTAAAAATAAATAATGCAAGTTAAAAAACAAAAACTATTCTCGAATTTAAGTTTAGCTTATATTTTAGTTTACCTATGTTTATATCCATGTTACATTTCCAGAACATGGTGCTGTGTATAAACACTTATACAGAGTGTTTCAGAAAATGTTAACATTAATGTGGCAGTTACTTGCAATGCCGGATTTGCCTAGTTCTTTATCGTGTGCAAGAATGTCACAATTGTGGGACATTCATAATGTACGGCCCTTCTACCCCTGCTGTAGTGACTGCGCCCCTTCTCTATATAAGTGTAAGCAGTTATTGAAACGTCCTGTATACCGAACAATACAGAAAGTTTCTCCACGCGTTCACTATAAGAGTTTCCGCCATTTTATCCAAATTAAGGTTTAACACGTGATTAGAGAAAGAAATAGGAAAACATTTTGAATAGGGGGGATTGATTGTTTAACATTAAAATATCGTAAATAACCGAGAAATTTATACGAAAATCAGCAATCCTCATTCAGAACCCGTTAGGTACAAACGTGTTACAGAATTTTTATATTCAGGATAAGAATTTGAAGGATTTCCTTGTGTTTACTCGATTCTTTGCATATAACGTGAAGATTTCTATTGTTGTATTGTATTCGTGACATCACTTAGTTATGTGATCATTGTAATGATTAGAAGTAAACTCGTCTCGGACGAACAGTAGGCATGTAGCAGTGCTGAAGCGCTCATTGTTGTTAGTGAGTTTAATACGAGATTTGTCTTTTAGTATATCTTTTGCGTACTTTTACCGAGGAAGGCCCCGTTATGCCTTGCACCTAAATGTTACCTACTCTGTGTCTCCTCACCCCTATTTTACAAATAGACAGCGTCATTCGCGCATGCTTAGTTCAATCGATGGTCTCGGCACCGCAAGCTGACAACGTTCCAGTTTTTACTCTAGTATTGCCATCTAGTATAAGTAAACGTAACTATTCGCGGGAAAATTTACATAACCGGGACTTGTCCGCTATAGCCAATAAGAAACGTTCTTCCAGAATATTGTATAAAAGAGGACGATGCCCATTGGAAAGATGACCATATCTTACATGATTAATCATAGTTCGGCACAAATAATCGATACGAGGAGTGGAATCTAAGATGATAATAGAAGCTAACTAAAAAGTTGAGTTGTTAGTTTGCCACTCGGGGGGACTGTGGAACGAATTTGACAGGTCGAAAGCCACAACGATTTTTAGTGGTGGATCATTCCAAAGAAGTTCCTTACTATACCATCGTCCCATTTTGGGCCCGAACGAATCCACAATGGGCACACAAGGCGGAAAAAGCAAAAAAAAGTAATTTTTTCTGATAATAATGTAATTGGTATTCACTGACTTGAGAGTAATTAATATTTAAAATTGTTAAAATAGGACAAATAACCATGACTGGCTTGCTAGGTGAAGTTGCATGTATCCAGTCCGTAGTCTTTCCGGCATTTCTTTACGCATCTAACACCTACATAGGGCTCAATTTCTTACTGAAAGTTCTCCCGGGAAGCACCCACCCCTTGGCAACAGGGAAGTGCCAGGATGTCTTACGTGTATTACTTTGCCATATACCATCGACCCGATTCGATCTTCTAATTTTGAAATTTGTGGATTGTGCCATCTTGTGTAAACCTTTTCATTTAGCGGGTTGATCATTATTCAGAGACAGACTTAAAATCTTCGAGGTAATTTCTAAAGAATAAACATGAAATTGCCTATTAATTTGAAGATCTTTACCAAAATCTGATGGATTGTAGAGAAAGAATTTGAAGAATTAAATGTAATATTGCGTAAATTATGGGTACTTCATGTAAATATCTGTATTGACTGCTTAACTAATTTACACCTAATATCTGTTAACGAGAACATACAGCAAACTGGCCTATAAATATTTCTTTTCAGGAGAAAGGATGGGTCTTTCTTTTGCGAAAAATGTCATAGAATTAATTTTTTTTTTCGAAAATTACAATAATGAACTATCGTGAGATAGTTCGCAGGTCACCTCGCGAGAGTTGAACCCTTTTGCGACACCGGATCGGTGGGATCCGTTGTCAAGCATCACTGGGTGGCTGTAAGTTAGAATTTGTCACGGGTTCGTAAGATTCCTGATGACGTCAGGACCTGACACCACTCTCATAAGGTAACTCCTTCCCTGCCCCGCCTAATAGCACTACAGGGTTAAAAAGACTATGCCTTGTTCATCGACTGGTCGGTACCTTACACGATAGACAGGGACGACTTAGCTGGGCCCTATGATACTTCTTTCGGGCTCCCGTCCATACCCCGGTCCAGCTCTCTAACTTGGCATAACTTTTATATTGTGCAGCCTGTTCTGCACTTATGGTCCACGATACTAAACCTTTTCCAGCTCACACTTATACTCATAGCTCAGACGTATTTAAATAGACGTTGGAGTGTCATTTATTGATCTTCTTGGAAAAGCTTTCGTTGTGACGGGTTGTCCTTGCTCTGCGGAGAGTACTTATCTCGAGAATGTCGGTTGACTTGAGAGAGGAGTCTCGTTGTGTTGTAGTGAGAGATCTTCCGGTTCTTATGGCCTCTCCTGTGTATCGAGGGGTCCGCGAGAAAATGGCGGTTTTGAACCCTTTTATTTAAAATATCTGTCCAGTGGTGGGTCAGTATTTCGACCATCTGACAGGATAACTAGATGAGTCGTATGGCTAGAGGTCCCGTCATCGGTGATGTTATCTCGAATATTATCGTGAAAAAGTGGAAAAGTGTCACTTTTAATATCAAAATAATACTTTGAATTTTTCTCGTTATAAAATTGAGTACATGCTCGAAAAAATTCAGTAAAATCAATGCTTATTTTTATTAAAAAAATAAGTGTAATTAAAAACAATTTAGTTCAGATTGCTAAAGATGAAGTGGAGAATTACGAACAAGGCATCAAAAGAAGATCTGGAAGACAGGCAAGAAGCCTTCATACGTACGTAAATTTTAAAATATAATTAAAGGATTGTTTGATTCATAAAATTTTCAATAGAAGTTTAATTTTTTTAAAGTAGAAACGGAGAATGGAAGAGAACATTGGCGATTTCCGACACGAATTCTCTCTGGGAAGATGGCATCGTACCGTTCGAAATCTCACCAAATATCAGTGGTATGTTTGATGATAATCGTAATTAATTGTTACAAAATTACTATTTTCTTAGGTTGTAACTCTGTTTACTTCTTTTGTTGGTGGTAGAAAGTCTAAGAAGAACAATACGCACGGCTATAAGAAAATGGGAATCGGTCACGTGTTTGAGATTTGTTCTTGCGGATGAAACGATCCACGAATACAGCGTGTATTTTGAAAATGAAGGAGAATGCGGGTAAGTTACGAATAAATTAAGCGAAATTAAACTGATTGCATCAATGCGTTTGAAACTAACGATTTCTAACACAATTAAATAATTTCCACAGTCAGTGATAGACCTATGTGTTTGTTATCTTGAATTTTAAATTTTTAAGGTGGTCCCTTTGCAACCTGTAATAATTGAGCAACATCTAAGAAAGTTCAAAAGTTTTTTCTGCTCTTGTAAGGACCTCGTGGCACACATGGAAAAGAATGGGGTAGATAGATGGAGTCCTTGAAAGGGGGATATGACAATCCTCATCCTACCATAAACGAAATTTGAGTAATATACGTTATGTTTTTCGATTTGGTTATTCTATGGAAGATCACCACAAATTTTTTCTGTTAAATTTTACAATTAAATCTCAGATTTTGATTAATATTACTTGACTAATTCATACTTTATGTTAGTAATTCCCTCCAGCAGCCAAATGGATAAATCACTGAATGACCTTCGACCACGGTTGGCCGTGGTTTGCCAACGGGCTGGATCGTGGAGATTTTCGAAGGCATATGAACTAAGCAGTCCACACTCTCAGTATATCAGTGTCACGTGGCAATACCCTTCATTAGTATAACTTTACGTGATCTTTTACTCGCAGGACACTCTTCAAAAGACAATCTGATAATCGTAGAGAACTTTGCACATTGCCATGCCTGAGTTTTATTTACATCAGCAGTGTCACGTCATGACAGTGTACGGGTCATATACAAGCGATGGTATAGTGCATGGAATAGCTGTAGATATTTCCGTTCGAATGTTTATTCGCGTAAAACAGAATTTTTTGTTTTTCCTGTGTATTAAAACTAGTGATATATAACGAAACCTGTTCTTAATATAGCAAGCATCATATACGACTCAGAATCAAGAACTCAGCGTAACAGTTAACCAATCAGCCTTTACGTATTAATGTAAAACGGATGGTAATTGGTTAGCTCTGTCTTGATTATTAGTTTTGAAACGGTGCACAGAAAATACACTTACATCATTGTATTTTACTGTAAAAGATAAAAGTAACCTTGATGTGTTTTCTCCCGTGTTACAGATGCTGCTCTTACATTGGAAAGTATGCTTGGCAACAAAAATCACGTTAAGAATAGAAGAAGGTTGTAATATGATCAATATTGTATTGCACGAAATAGCACACGCAATTGGATTTCATCACGAGCAGATGCGACCAGATCGGGAAAAGTACATTAAGGTTTTGTACGAAAATATCAAGGAAGGTAATTGAAATAATATAACAAATATTCTTCGATAGTAATTAGAACTTACACGTTACCATTAAGTACCTTTCAGGATATGCAGATCAATATGAAAAGCTGTCAGAAGAAGATGTAAACACTTTAGGATATGCATACGATTTCGATAGTATTATGCACTATGCTTCTGATTTCTTCAGTACTGGTGGAGAAACCATGGCTATTATCAATAACCACACCGGCATTCCTCTGAAAAAAAAGACGACATTTCTTGAGCCGATCAGATATTGAAATCGCTAACAAACTTTACAGCTGTCCAGGTAGGAACTGCTCTCAAGAAGTGTATTGCATTCTACAAAATCTAAAAAATTATCTTTGCAGCTTGCTTATTTAATCTACGAGATAAAAGAGGAACAATATACTTCAACACTTCTATGACTGACGAATTATATTGCGAGTGGTTCATCAAAAGGGAGGAGGGAGAATATATCGAGTTCATTGTCGATTACGTTAACATCCCGGATAACGAAAACTGTACCGAAGATTACTTGGATTTTCTCGATGGATATTCCTTTTCTTCTGCGTATTTAGGTAAAACACAAGTTATTTTGCTTTCAAACGCATTAGAAGTATATATAGTTCTAAAATGTTAGTAAATTGTATAAAAGTAAAGAAGGAAAACTCTGTGCTTCAGTACCCCATGAAACAAATTTGGCCAATGGATTGTTTACTTAGTTGTTTATCATTTGGAAGTACCCATAATTTACTGATATGTTAGAATTATAGATTGAAGAATTAATTTTTATACTGATTTTACCACTATACTATGGGAGGTAAAACTCGCTTATCATCCTTATAAAGTGAAACTGAGTTAAGTAGATGTATTCCGCCATGATAGAAATACGTTATGCTTTGGGACAACCATCTTACTGTATTTCAACGGAAACGGGACGATATAGTGTAACGTGTTTCTGTCATTTCAAAATTTGCTCTGTTTAACTTATTTCCATTCCATTCGAATTAATGAGATAAGCGACTTTTGACTCACCCTATATATAGTATACCCTATACAAAATTATATAGTAAATAATTCTTTGTATACTTCTTTGCAGATTCTCTTTGTGGGAATAAGACTGTGGAGGACTTCTACATAACCACTTCTAATTATCTTTTCGTCTTATTTCAAAGATCAGATCGAACGAAATTCGCGGAATNACAAATATTCTTCGATAGTAATTAGAACTTACACGTTACCATTAAGTACCTTTCAGGATATGCAGATCAATATGAAAAGCTGTCAGAAGAAGATGTAAACACTTTAGGATATGCATACGATTTCGATAGTATTATGCACTATGCTTCTGATTTCTTCAGTACTGGTGGAGAAACCATGGCTATTATCAATAACCACACCGGCATTCCTCTGAAAAAAAAGACGACATTTCTTGAGCCGATCAGATATTGAAATCGCTAACAAACTTTACAGCTGTCCAGGTAGGAACTGCTCTCAAGAAGTGTATTGCATTCTACAAAATCTAAAAAATTATCTTTGCAGCTTGCTTATTTAATCTACGAGATAAAAGAGGAACAATATACTTCAACACTTCTATGACTGACGAATTATATTGCGAGTGGTTCATCAAAAGGGAGGAGGGAGAATATATCGAGTTCATTGTCGATTACGTTAACATCCCGGATAACGAAAACTGTACCGAAGATTACTTGGATTTTCTCGATGGATATTCCTTTTCTTCTGCGTATTTAGGTAAAACACAAGTTATTTTGCTTTCAAACGCATTAGAAGTATATATAGTTCTAAAATGTTAGTAAATTGTATAAACAAAAAGAAGGAAAACTCTGTGCTTCAGTACCCCATGAAACAAATTTGGCCAATGGATTGTTTACTTAGTTGTTTATCACTTGGAAGTACCTGTAATTTACTGATATGTTAGAATTATAGATTGAAGAATTAATTTTTATACTGATTTTACCACTATACTATGGGAGGTAAAAGTCACTTATCACCCTTATAAAGTGAAACTGAGTTAAGTAGATGTATTTCGTCATGGTAGAAACATGTTATGCTTTGGGAGAACCATCTTACTGCGTGTCAACGGGAACGGTGCAATAAAGTGTAACGTATTTCTGTCATTTCAAAATTTGCTCTTTTTAATTTATTTCGATTTCATTCAAATTAAAAAGAGATAAGCGACTTTTGACTCACCCTATATATAGTATACCCTATATAAAATTATATAGTATATAATTCTTTGTATACTTCTTTGCAGATTCTCTTTGTGGGAATAAGACTGTGGAGGACTTCTACATAACCACTTCTAATTATCTTTTCGTCTCATTTGAAATATCAGATCGAGCGAATTTCGCGGAATTTTCCTTCAGATATAAAGGTTAAATTATAACTCGAATGCTTTTAATACAAAACTTTAATATTTAAATGAGTAATTCATAAAGAAATTCATAATCGACAAACAACAAATCTTTTGTAAGGTGTTGACTGGAACGAGTATTCACCATTCATGTCATTTCATGTCTCAACTTCACATTCATTCTTATAAAAAACTAATCTTCACCTTAGCAAGTTCATCAACTTTTATGTAACAGTACACTCTTGCTAATCCAGCTTGAATTATCCTGTAGTTGCGATCTGTTTCTCTGTTATCCGTGCTTCTTAAATACACGCAATAAACGTGAGATATTAAATTTAATAAAAAATGAAACTTTTAATTATTGTACCACTGTACATAAATTTATAGTAACAAAAACGACACGACTCCAAAAATAATCAAAATCGAAGGGTGACAGGTTACGTCGTTTATTGCTTTCAGGTAGTATTTAAGTCTATATCATAATCTGTCACCTTTCACCGTCTTTGCAAGATATGGCCGGATTAGCAAGAGGTTAGTAAATTAGAATACAAATAATTTGGTATAATTTTGTAATGCTTCTTATATTTTGCTCTAGATATAAACACCTGAATTGATAATTTAGAATATGGATATATTTTCAGTCGCCTGTGGAAGTGAAATCGAAGCAGACGAAGGCTTAATTAAAAGTCCACGAAATTCTGCAGATTATCCCTACAGTAAGGATTGTATTTGGATCGTAACTGTTCCCGAGGANTCATCAACTTTTATGTAACAGTACACTCTTGCTAATCCAGCTTGAATTATCCTGTAGTTGCGATCTGTTTCTCTGTTATCCGTGCTTCTTAAATATACACAGTAAACGTGAGATGTTAAATTTAATAAAAAAAATAAAACCATCAATTATTGTACTACTGTACATAATTTTACAACAACGAAAACGGTACGGCTCCAAAAATAATCAAAATCGAAGGGTGACAGGTTACGTCGTTTGTTGCTTTCAGGTAGGATGTAATTCTATATCATAATCTGTCACCTGTCACCGTCTGTGCAAGATATGGCCGGATTAGCAAGAGGCTAGTAAATTAGTTAAATTCTGTAATGCTTTTTATATTTTGCTCTAGACATATACACGTGAATTGATAATTTAGTGTTGATAAATGGATATATTTTCAGTCGCCTGTGGAAGTGAAATCGAAGCAGACGAAGGCTTAATTAAAAGTCCACGAAATTCTGCAGATTATCCCTACAGTAAGGATTGTATTTGGATCGTAACTGTTCCCGAGGATTATAGAGTGGCCTTGCACTTCCAAACATTCTATGTTAGTGTCTGAGGTACACTTTGTATCGTTTCAAAAAATATAAATGATCGGCAATGGCATTTCATTTTCAGCTCGGCAACAACGAAACAGATTGTAATTCTACATACGTGGAAATCTGGGATCATGCTGAAAATGCCAGCAATCTAATGCTTACCTTTTGTGGTTCCGAGATTCCTCCTGATATTCTGTCTCCAAGAAACAGTTTAGAAATTAAATTCGTGTCTGAGGTGTGGGAAGAGGAAATTGGTTTTTCGGCTTCTTTTGTAAAAGGTACGTCGAGTGTCGTGTTTAAATATGAGAAAATATAATTTTGCAGTGTTTACATAAAGTCGTGTTTGATAGAGATAAACGAATGTGAGTCTGTTGATAATGGTGGATGCAGCGATTTGTGCGTTAATACAATAGGAAGTTATTATTGCGAGTGTAGAAAGGGAAGACAATTGTTTCCGGATAAACATCGATGTGAAGGTAAGTTTGAATAAGACACATCCATTTCGAAGTAGTTCTTAGAAATAAATTACTTGACATAGAAGTTATATTATTGTGGAGTCGTCATTATGCTGGACTGCAATTCTTAATCATATTTTAATTGTAAAGTTTCCTGCATGTTCGTATATATTAGTTGGGTCACTGTCCTCCATGCTTTCTACGTATGGTGCGGAGTTTCATCTATCTTATTTCGTTCTCGAGATTTAAAGGAGGACAGATGGACGAAAGTCGGAATGTATGGGGTATGCAATCTAAAAATTGCAGCACAATTATCACCTTTCTTAGAGGGCTTTATATATAAAACTTTTTCTTAAATTTTTTGAATTTCTATTTAAAATTATAAAGGAGTCTATGTTTGAAGTTTGTAGTCTTACAGCTGTAATTTTTGTTAACTTAAAATAACCTTTCCACTTTCGAAATCTTAACCTTTAATTTAATTAACGGACTTGAACGACAAATGTATTTTATTTAAATTAACTTATGCACTGTTTTATATACAATAATAAGAAATAAGTTGTAGATAGTAAGAAGCCCACCAATGGCCGAGTGAGTAAAACCACCGAAAACTGTTAGTCGCGGGTTCGTGCCTGCCGAGTGGAATTTTTGGGTTTTCTTCGTGTTTGTAACATCAAAGCAGGGACTAGTTACACACAGAAAGCCCTGCCGAGAGATAGGTCCACCTGTAGGGTTGTGGTAAAGAAATAAACGGAACTACACCATACGTTACGCGAATTATGTATAATGAGGATTACGTTAATTAATCAACTAATAACAGAAGATTAAATAATATTAACTTCAAATTTATGTTTGTGTGAACAGAATATTCTAATGAATGCGGTGGAATTTTAAACGTGACCAAACCTACAATCATCGCTAGTCCTTCCTTTCCCAAGCCTTACCCCAGGAACATAAAATGCAAATGGGAGATCCTTAACGACAATTTCAACGTTTCATTAATCCACACGGACTTGCAACGGACCAAAGTGAGTATTAGGAACTTCCAATTTGCATATTATACTCGTTTGCCATGTAAATATAAATATTCTTTGGTTTTTTTTGCAGTATAAATGCATTGATACAATAAAACTGGCTTTCACCCGAAAAAAAATTCATAAAGTATTTGATTTATGTGCTGATATCGTACCCTTGGAATTCACCGAGATTTCAGATTTTACAATCGAGTTCGAATCCGACTTGATGATTCAAAAAACCGGATTTGCCATTTTGTTAGAACCTTCGTAAACGTGTAAACTTTATGGAAATGATTAAAGCATACATTTTAACGTGGTAAATGTTTGATTACATATTTTGCAATTGAATCGATATCAATACAGAGTGCCTTGCAACGAGGTAGAATATACTACATAATGCCTGTGACCATGGTCACAGCGCTCTTGATGGCAATGTGAAGGTCCAAAACCCTTTTGTTTTAGAACAGTATCACCCCTCTAATAAACCTCCTGATTAGGTGAAAAAGGGGGCCTTCTGTGGTCGATGACCGAGATGATCTCCTCGAAAAAAGTCGTTAGTATATCAATAAAATAAATCTCCTTCATTTGTTTAACCCCCTCGGTTCTCACAGCAACGACAGGTACTATCGACTATTTACGCAACACAAATGCCAGGCTCCATTGACTAAAAAGAAAATGGCAGACGTGTATTCAATTTTCCTGAAACATGGCGTCACTTCAGCCACTGTGTAGAATATTCTAGCTCGTTCTCGTATTGGTACCTTGTTTCCAGATACGAGCGTGGCAAATACGTGAGCCGTTCACAGCCCGACACACGTATTTGTAAAATCTAAGTGACTCGTACAACATGGAATTCATATAAAACAGAATTATCTACAGTGTTATAGGGGGGTCAACTGCATATCAAATGGTATACAAATTGACCAACAGTGGTACAATATGATAGAGCGTGCGAGTGAAAAAAGTGATTTTAATGTACTTGTCATACAGTGTTGTATTAGTAAATAAATGGAAATTATTGTGAAACTATGTATGTATTCTCTTTAAAAAAATTTTTTTTACTACTACTATACCACATGTAAATAACCTGTTAAACAGTTATTATAATTAGTTACTCTAATGTTGTGTTGTAGAAAATACACGTTCTTTAAAAGATGTACAGTAGACCCCCCTATAAACCGGGTTCATATATAACGGCGAAAAAATTGCGACCGTATTCGTATAAACACGCTAATAGAAACTCGTAAAATACGGTAAAACGTCATCGCCAACTCATGTCGCAACAGGATTGGTCAAACCTAGACCAATAGCAGATATTGCACAAACCGTTCAGTTTAAACGAGCAGCGGACCTACCAAAAACCATTTATTATTTAACGGTCATAAAAATTATATTTATATTAATGATGTCTCCAAAGTTCAACGAATTTTTNTGTGAGTTGCCCACTTCATGTTTTGATCTAGGGTGATTCCTAGATATTTCAAGTTATTAGTATTTTTAATTTTGTTCATATTCATTAGTATCCTCAGTGGTTTTTTAAGTTGACTTCCTTTAGAAAGTACCATGCACTCACATTTGTTAAAATTAATTTGTAAATAATTATTGGTAGACCAGTCATAAATCTTTTGTAAAATTTTATTTGCATCTCTCTGTAATGTCTCGTTGTTGTTATTTGACATCATCACCAAGGTGTCATCGGCATATCCCTGGATCTTATATGAACTTAACATAGTATCTTCTTCATTAAGTTGTAGTAAGCTATCATAAACGATATTCCAGAGGCCCGGCCCTGAACGGGACCCTTGGGGGCAACCCCTGGATAAGGTACGGACAATACTACTACCAAATTCATAAATCCCCGCAGTCCTATTATCGAGATAATTAAGTAGATACACAGATATAACTATTACCTTTGCAATAGCTAATTAACAACTAGTTCTATCAGCTTGAAATTTACATAAGTATTAGTTCAAACATGTTCGAATACAAATGTGTGTGTCATTTCAATATAATTATGTCATGGGTGAGACTATGCAACCATTCTGGGAATTAAATTATCACACCTTGTATGTATAAAATGTCATATTATAATCAAGTTACATTATATTTTAGATTAATTAAGTTATATAAAATAAATAAAAATACCAGATAGTTTGCGCTCCTTTTGCAATCTTTCCATTGCCTGAATTCTTCTTATCTCTAGTATAGTAGGTGTTTCTGTGACGTCGAGCATCAACATGGTATCGTTTCCTTTTGAAAGTAAGAAACGGAACCAAGAAAATAAAGATATCATTGCCAAAAAGAAAAAATTTGTTCCAATACCTAAAACTGCAGAGAATATGGGCCAATAATACATAAAATATCTGAAAAAATTTTAAAAATTACACTCAATATTCAATTTTACTTTAATCTGTTAGATGTAATAATTACCTTAAACCAGTGAATTCAGCATGAATTCTAAGAGTTGCTGCATAAATCTCAATGGCATGGCTTTGAATTTCGATACGAGATGTAAAAGCCGGTCGGGTCTACAAGAAAAGAAATGTCCGTATGTAACACTAATAATTTACAATATATAAGAATAAATAAACAACATTACTGCATATAAATGCAATTTATACTTACTGGATCTTCCTCATAATGTTCAAATAACGAAACCGATACCAACTGTTTTTCTTCGACCGTACCAGAAAGCAGTAATGGAGCAAAAAACAATGTTCGTATTATGCGATGTAGGTGAGATTTAAAATGAAGAACTCCCTGAAATTAATGATAAAATTTGGAAATTTCAAACTTTTATAGAATATCTACTTTCAAATCTTTTAATTTTTAAATTGTATATATATCTGTTCTACACTTTTATTTATAAGGGGAGGTTGAGAAATGTATTTCATGGATTTGGATCAGTGTTTGCATGGTTATTCTGGAGCACTGAAAAGTATTTACACCCTGTAAAGCTGTGGGTTCCACTTCTGCATCTTCAAGAAAACCATGAAAATTACTTGTTTCTGCATTATGTACCAATTCTCCAGATATAAAAGCCCAACTTAACATTATGATTTTCTCTAATAAAATACAAAGGTGAAACCTACAGGTTTACAGAAGATACTTTTTAGTGTGTGTACTCCAGAATAACCGTGAGGGCTGATCAAAATCCATGAAATGTTTGAGCCTCCCCTTGTGAATATTGAGAACACAATTTAAAGTCATTGTCGTCTTTAAAAATTTGTTTTTTTGTGAAATCAACTACAAACTAATGAATGTAAACATGTCGAAGTAAATGCATCCCAATTTTGACCACAATTTTGCATTCACAATGCTGACAACAATGACCACAGATCCTAAATGATAACGACTTGTCTTTTGTCATTTTCGTTCATCACCAAAGCGTTCACACTGTTACTTTTCATCTTAGAGCATGTACTGTACAATGTACATTAGGTTTAGCATTATTCTATGGCTTTCTATGCCTTTAGACTGGACTCACCTCTCTTTAAAATTTAGATATGAAGAGTAAAATGTTAATTCTTTGACTTCGACAGAGGAATTTATTACTTTTGTTACGGAAAATATCAAAACATAGATGACAATCATAGCCATTCACACTGAGAGAAAAATAAAGTGATTTCCATGCTTTAGTCCAGGAATTATATTAAAAGATACAAAAATAATTTTAAAAATCCTTTGGTATGTCTCCAAATACTTTAAACCATTTATTAAGCTTCGTAAGCCGCTTTCTTTGACACGAGAGATTAGCAGTTTCTCCATCTTATTCAAAGAAGTGTGGGAAGTTCACATTGATTGGCCAATTCCATTACGACAATGACAAATATTGAATCTTGGCTAACTTTGAAATGATTAGGACAAATGATAAAAACCTCAGTTTTTGTCGTCGTTATCGGCAGTGTGAACTCAGCCTTAATATAATTATCTATCAAATTTAATATTACTAACAAAAAAAATGAGGTTATAATAACCAAACCTCAGTTTAGTGCTACATTTGATTGTTTCATAAATTGTCACTAAAGTGAACAACAAAAATTATAGTAATGATGTCTACATGTAAATTTCAAGTTGAAAGTTTGAGTCATGTATAGTGAAATCGTTGTCATCCACAACACAGAATTGTAAACTTAGTTACTACATTAAATTAGTACACATATCCTCCTGATAATATCCAGTCTGAAACATGATTTTAGCCATTAATGCCAAGTGCAATTCTTGTATGTGGGGCTTTTGTGTCTGGCACTTTTGTAGCATACACACGATCCTTGACATGCCAACAAGGTAAAAGCTTGAAAAGATGACGTTAGATGATCAGATGGATGGAGAAATGGGGCTCTGGCAATCTAGACTGGATTTCACTGTGAGGCAGCAGTAGTCTTTTCGATCATATGCACACAAAACTGATGTTCTCCGACACATTTTATTCACACATCTGAACAAATGGATTTTACAGAACAGTTTGAAAGTATGGTCATTGGAAGCGAACAACCTGTATTTTTCATTATATAATTTAATTTAAAAATATTATAAAATTATGTATTAACTACTTACTGCTCTGCAAGAAGTTTTGACCGTCTCCCCATTTCTTGCCAGCATGTCTAACTTAACCATGAACATTCCTGAAAAACAAGTGGCTTAAATTTTCGAATTGTTTTGCCAAATTATTCAAACTTTACCATTTTATTTTTTACCTGGCATACCTATATTTTGATTCGTTTCTGACTCTGGCATTTCTAAGTCAAGTACAATGATGTATGACTGACCCCTACTAAGAAGCTAAATTTTCAAAAAACGGAAAATAAACAATTATTGTAGATATATTTAAAGCTTACAAAATTAAGAAATTTAATCAAAATGTAAATATGAAACTTCTTCTCCAAGATTTGTTTCAAACAGAATGTTTTTGAGATTGCGCAGCCTATTATCAGATCCTGCAGAACTGAAAAAAGAAATGTCGAAAGGCGTTCAAAAGCATTTCAAAATTTTAATCATTTTATTTAAAAGTATGACTCCATAGCATGCTAAAAAACAAAAACCAATAAAATATACAAAATAATAAGCAATTAAACATCCAAAATAAGTCTTGAACTGCTTCATTAATTCTACCATTCCACTATTCTTTTTGCTTCGTATGAAGTTACACAATTTGTTTAAAATAAATTATTATAACCATACATACCTTATACTACGGAACAGAATTTTCATAATGAAAAGTTATATAAATTAATAAACTTACTAAAATCAAGGTGAGTTTATGCAAAAATATTATAGATCACCTGTGCTTAGCCTGCAGCTACATTTACATACATTTTACTGAATCAAAAATTCACAGATTCTGTATGTATAAAAAAGGACACCAAACTCATGATTATCTGTGCATTGTCAAATTATGTATTTTGCCCATCTTGTCCATAGACACTGTAATTAATGGGAAGTTGTAGACACATCAGTGTACGAGCAATAGGCTTTCGAGTTCAGCTGACTTCCTAAGAAACAATCTAAAACATTCACAGAAGTTGACCTCAATTTACAAATGAAACTTTAGAAATTTATTGATAGAATACAGGTGGGGAAAAGTCACACTTTTGCACTGTGTTATAAACAAAGTTTAGCTGTACAGCTGTTTATTTAAACCTCTGTTTAAGTTAGTTTTATATAATTCAGAGGACTAATTTGAATTATCTGTGTTTTTCATGCACATTCAACCAATTATCATGGATAATTGGGAGTTTTAATATATACATAAAAAGCTGTTTGAGGAAAGGCTGCACACTTAGAAGTTTGTCCTATAAAATCTATAAGAAGTTTATCTCGGAAGAGTGAATAACTGACAATCCTGTTCACATAATTACAAAGAGAATCAAATGACAACTTATGAAAGGTTGTCTGCGAGTTTATTATTCATTTATTTGGAGATTTAAATGTTTCACAGTTGGATTGTAATTAGTTCAGCTAGTTTACTGCTTCTTCAAGTCTGACTTACAATGTTGTAAATTCCTTGTGCCCCGTCTTACAAGCAACAAAACGTTGCCAATCTGATATAAACAATTATGTAAAAAAATGTGGAAGGTATGCACGTACTCCAAATATCACTCAAATGTCTAAAAATGGACAATTATGTTACTCTTTACATCCTGTAGGCATTAAGAAGACCTTTTTCTGTGTCCAATGTGGATATGACCAAGCCCAAAATGGGTGTTAAGGGTGGTCATGAGTGAGACCCAATATATCCGACACAGACAATCCCCGAAAGCTTTCTGGGGATCTGAGATTGCACAGATTTGAACCTGAGTTTCCCAAAGTGCTAGACCAATGCCTTAACCATTCAGCTGGCAATATGAATGTTTGCCGAACAAAAAATGTTTTAAATTATTAATTCAATAAATAAGAAGTTTATTGGATTAACAATTTATTTAAGTTATAAGTTATTTTAATTTTTAATGTATTAGAGATTTTAATATGTACATACTTGATCTTGGCCTCTTTTAACCAGCGTAACATTAGCCACAGGAAAGTTGCATGTGCCATTGGAACATAAAGAGCTGAAATTATATGTACACAGCATTATATTAATAATTACTTTTTTAAATCAGTAATTACTTATAACATAATTAAAAATTTAATTATAATAATGACAATTAAGTGAGTGAAAAGTTTTCATATACAGACAAAGTGTTCACTTTATGCAATCACTTATATGTAGGCATCATTTAACCAAGCATTTATCACTGTTATATCATTATTTTTAAACATATCCACACAAATTAAATGAAGATTATGAATAAAAAACAAAGAAGTTACCTCTTTGATTTTTATTCATGACCTGAATTAAGAAGTCACTCTACTAACCACAATGTCCAATTCAGTATTAAGGAGAACACTCATTCTGTACTTGTTTTTGCTCTTTCCATCTGTGAGCATAGTGGAGCAACAAGTTCAGAGGAGCATCTATAAAGCAATGTGTGTTCATAGTAGTTGCATGGAAGATGATGTCAAGTGCAACATAAGTCGGCGATGACATTTTACCGCATTTTATGAGTTTCTTAACATCTTTATATGAATACGGTCGCAATTTTTTCGCCACGACATATGAACCTTTGTTATTGGGGGGGGTCGACTGTATTTGTTTTAATCCAATTTTGTTGAGCATTGCACACAACTGAACTTGGCAAGTAATGCATATGACATATGTTCAGTTGTCAATGTTCCTTTGAAAGCATTGTTTGAATAATTTTTTCATGCATGTTGTGTCTGGTAAGTGGTCACTCTTTTCCTGTTGATCTTCTTCCTTCCATTTTTTGAGGTGTAAGTGTGGAGAGCATGCTTCTTGCTTCAAAAGGTTCTCATAAATCTTCATGCAAGAGATCTCCTAAGTCAATGGACTTCATTTTTTAATTCAGATTGAGTATTTACCATACAATGAAGGCAATTTTCAGAGAAATATCAAGATCATTGAAAGGTTGAAATAAAATTTAATCTAAAATAATACTTTATTTTAGATTTCCTGTCCATTTCAAAAGTTACTTTTTTCTTGTCTATCAGGTCCATTCAACCCATAAATTCATTGTAGATCTGCAGAATGTTTGAGCACTTTCATTTTTTTCCTTTCTTCCTTCTCCAAATTATATTCTTCTTTATCACTCTGACCAACACACAACAATTCATTAACTTTCCAAATGAAAGTTTGAATTATCTACTGAACTATTAACTCATTTAAATTATCCAACTTCACTGCCTGTAACCAGTGTTCTTCTCCGAAGCAGAGGACTTTGCAAACGTTTTTGAACCTAATGTTGTTCTTCTTCAGATGCTATGGAATTCTCTATACGAATTTGAATTTCCAGTTGAGAATTAACCGTTGGTTTGGAAATCTTTCTGGAATGTTGTTCCAAGCCAATGGTTAATTCTCGACTGGAAATTCAAATTCATATAGAGAATTCCATAGCGCCTGAAGAAGAACCACATTAGGTTTGCAAAGTCTTATGCTTTTGAGAAGAAGAACACCGGTTACAGGCAGTAAAGTTGGGTAATTTATCTACTCCAGTGTTAATATTTCTTTTTAGTTTATTAACTCATTTTTCAATGTTTCATGTAAAAAATATTAACTGCTATATGGATTATTCACTTAAAGTTTTACCTGAAATGAATTACAAACTAACCTTACCAGGAAATGTGAGAAATACAAAGTAAAAGGCAGAAACCGACAGTACGACTCATTTACAAGGTATCCTACTAAAGCCAATAATAATTGTAAATGCAAAAAATTGAAATAAAAAAACACCAAACAGTGGATGTAGACTTCTACCTGGCATTTCACTCTCATGGTCATCACTACCCTAAAATTTTTTCACTTTCAAATTAATATTTTTGTATTTAATCTTTAAATTAGAAGAAAAATTTGCATTTTGAATAATTCCTAGCAACTTTAATAATATACAGTAGATTCCCCTATAACATTGTTGATAATTCCGTGTTATATGAATTCCATGTTGTACGAGTCACTTAGATTTTACAAATACGTGAGCCGTTCACAGCCCGGCACACGTATTTGTAAACTCTAAGTGACTCGTACAACATGGAATTCTTATAAAACGGAATTATCAACAGTGTTATAGGGGGATCTACTGTATATCGCTTTTTATCAAATCATAAAAATGTAAATTAACAAATTTGTGACTGATAATTACTTTTTACATTCATCCTTCATTTGGTATTCCTTTCCAAGCTTATCGAACCTACACAACCAGAATCACTATCTGTTCATTTGACCAGACAGTTATTATGTTAAACAATGCCCTGCACAGTGTTGTCAAACTCATCAAAGGTTACAAATTTAAACACTTTACCAATTAAACTTTCCATACTTGTTGTAAAGAGCATGGCATTTCAAGTGATAAATTCAAACTGTTCAGAAACTGTCGCTTCACTCATCACTATGTCATCACACACTCGAGGATCAAAGCATGCACTATGCGTGCCTGAACTTATGCATTACACACTTATGGTCTACTAGACTTGTCACTTCATTCTACTACTATTAAAACATACACATAGCATAAGAGAGCAAATATAAGTCTGAATCCGAGGCTCAAACCATAGATCATGAGGTTAATAACTAGAAAAATAAATTAATTTAGAATGCATACAACGATTTAGACAACTAAATTGCAATGGCAGACTCGTACATTAAATGCACGTGGAGAATTTTTAAAGAATTACCTCCGCTAAGACTAATAATCATCTTATGTAGAAGTGATTCTTCGAAAAATCTCTGCATGTTTAGAGTATTCTGGAAGAAATGATCAATTCAAAGCAGGGGTGCAACCACAGTTCCTGCCTATCATGCAAGTATGCTATCATGATATCCATCTAATCTTCCCTTTCAGACTAACTTTGAAGATATAGCCATATTAGTCATTTGTTTCACTAATTGAATTAATTAGCATTATCATTTGATTGATTTATATTCATTAATGCAAATTAATCATCTGAATCCAGTAACACAACCCTTGCGCATATGATATATAACATGACTCAAATCATTTGATTGTATTTTTAAAGTTGTTTTCTGTTTTATCTTAAAAACACGATCTTTAAATAAGATCAAAAATATTAATTAACTTATTAAATTTGTTTTTGTTACTGAATTTAAATGTATTTTCAGTTAATTATGATTATATGGACTTATGGTGTTATAAAGTTCAATGAATAGGAATAAAAAATTGGCTCTAATTTTTAAACTGTTTTTCTTGTTTATTAAACTTTATAACATCATAACTGTTCTCCAAGTAATATTAAATCTTTAGTGTGTTGTTACTGTATGCAATGTTATCAAATTCTGTCTGTATATTCATTTGTATACTTAATATTAAAATAATTTAATTGCATTTATTATTTTTAATTTTCCAGACATCATTTAAATACGAACACTAAACCCATTACATTTCTATTTATTTGGCTCATTCCACTCTATGGATGCTAAGAGAATCTTTTTAAACATACCCATTACAGTTTTGGCCAAACCAATAATGGAGGCAGCTGGGTGGCAAGGGATGATGTCCAACATGACTGGTAGAGATGAACCACAAAAAATTCCAGAGGGAGGTTGCTTGCCCAGATTTGAGCCTGGATCCTCTTTATATCTTAACCCTCTTAGCCATTCACAGTCTGTTAAGTTGCTATTTTGTTCTAATGATTTATGATTTTCCAAATGGCTAATTTTGAGAAATAAATAGATGCAAATCTACAAATTAATACAGCTTCAATACAGCAGAGCCTCAAAAACTCGGCCTAATGTGGACCGAAGGGTGGCTGAGTTTGTGAAAATGCCGGGTTATCAGGAATGGGTTAAAAAAGGATAAGTATGAGAGTTTCCTCAAAAAATATTGTACTGTACTTGTATGTATTGTTTGCTTGAGAATACAACAGAGAATAAACTGTCCAAATACCCTTAAACAAAGGAAAAGTACATCCTTTATGAAGGCATAGAGCCTTTACTACATGAAAATGAATACACTGTGTACAGTAATTTAACTGATAAGACAGACCTCAGAAAAATACTTTATGAGGCATAAAGCTGTCTATAATGAAAATTAATTAACTAAGGATTATTTTTGCCCCGCCAAGGTGTGGCCGAGTTATCCGGAGTGCTGGGTTATTGAGTGCCAAGTTTTCGAGGCTCTACTGTATGGCCATACTTAAAAATCTATCAAATGCTTTTGGCTCCATATCAACTATCAATAAATCTTTTACCATCTCTATTGAGCAAGACTCCACTCTATGCAATTTACTTGGTTATTGGTGTAAGATGCAGCTATTATGCTATAACTTGACAATGGATACATTCCAGTATGCATTGAACAGTGCAGTGGTGAACACAATGTACTAAAATGTGCTCTGATATTCACTGACGATTTCATTCACACAGTGACTGATGCAATTTGCACTTGTGAAAGTGTGGATATGTGAAGTGTTGATACAGCAATTTGACTGCCTCTACAGTTATATTATTAACATCAATTTTACTACTCATCTGTATTACCATGAAGAAGCTGTTTTGACAAAATAAGTCTGCAAATGTCAATATAGCATATCTGGTTTGCTCCACCATCTTGTTAGATTGCTAGACTTTCTAGTAAAAGCACATTAAATCGTTCACTGATGCATCAGTTGTGACTGAGACTGATGGATATGGGTAATAGTCATCAGTAAATGAACCAATAGCAACAGAAACAAATTATTACTGATAAATTAAACAAATACAATCATTTATCACTAATAATAACAATAATTTATCATTCACAAATTTTCTTTATATTAATATCCTGTACAGAGTATTTTAATGTGCCATAACCTCTAACAAACAAGTAAAGAATTTAAAAAATTCCATTTCTGCAGCAATAAAAAAATTATAATGCTTTGTCTTTCTTTATTACACAATGTTTTAATATTTTATACATTATAAGCCTGTCTTTTTCATTGTAACATCAAAATGTCTGAAAGAATCTAAAGATGCATCAAGTGTATTTCATATGAATATACAAAGATCCACAGATTTGTGACAATATTGACTAATGACTACATTGTATATTCTACATAACATTTGCAAGCTGAAGTCTAAATCATTTTTTATTAGCTTTTCCAGATATTTTAAAGATAATGGAGTCTATCTTAAATCAGAGAAAAGCAAATAATAACGCTGTATTCAAAAATTACTACTTAGTTTGATAACTCAGACATCACTGTATCTAGTCAATGTTTAAGAAAATAATCAAATATAAATTGCATTCAGCAGTGAACAATAAAATATAATAAAAATTTATTTTTATGCTGTTCTTTTCACAGATTTTGATTGTAAGATATTTCAAGTAATAATAATGATAAATGTTGCATTATATTACCTTACCCTATAAATTAATCTCAATTGATGTTGTTATAGTGAAGAGCTAAACCAATTATTAAATAAGAAACTGTGTTTGTGTGTAACAAATACTCATACCAAATTTATTTTAAACAAAATGTGGTTGATTTATAATGTGATATTTCAATAAAAATAACCTTCTTGATGTCGTCCAGCACTGGCTAATTGTAGACTTTTGATCAATTAATCTACGAGGTGTAATAAATCTGTATAATTAGCCAGTCACGGGCTAAATCAAGAAGTATTAATCCAGACAAGAAAGTAAGAATATTTACAAAAAACAAACTTAAATTCACATAATTATAAATTGTGTTAATTAAGTTCTCTGAAATAGCAGTTAGTGACCTGGCAGGCATATATCTGCAGTGGTGTGAAACATCTGTAAGACATCGTTTAATGACAACAAAATAATTGGGCTGCAACTTGAAAAATAGTAGACCTATAAATTTCCATTGTCGTCTGTCCGTCTTTCCATAATTTCGAGAACAGTTAGCTAGTTGACATCCAAGACCAGATATGGAAACCGTAAGGGCGGGAGGCCCAATTAACTATATACGAACTTCCAACGCAAACTGGAAATCATGTTATTTCAATTCAAAACTTTTCCCCTGGAAAAAGTTAATAGATGACCAGCACAACTTTATTGTTAAAGGAAAAATATGATGTACAGAGACAAGTCACTACTAATTTGAGGTGGAGAGCATATATTTTAAATTAAATAAATAAAAAATTGCAGCCTGGCATTGTGACGATGTCACAATAGATAATTGTTCTTTGTCGGTTGTCTTGTATGATTTATACTAGGGCACTCTTCCCAAAGACAGACTTACAGTAAATTAATGAGTATCTAACTCTTAAATATTAAAAAAATGTAAAAGATGTAAGAACACAAGTGCAATAAATATGGAAATACACAGGAGAGAAAATGTTTGCTAGTGTCATTTCTTTACATTTTCCTGTTGAATATTTTGGTGCTTAATTTAAGTATATCTAGTTATTTAGATGTTGGAAGAGTTAATGCTTGTTAAAAACTTGATCCATAATTTTATAACTAGGACATTATACAATTTTGTTGTATTATGACAGAATTGAGGCAGAGCTGGAATGAAAGAAGCAATCCGACGGTCATGAACAGGCAAACTTTGCACTTGCTGCCACAAGAGAGGCTATCCTTGTATCTGCCAGCCACGAGACAGGCAATTCTCACACTTGCTGGCCAAGGAGAAACAATCCTTGCACTTGTTGACACGAAGAGGCGATTCAAGTAGCAAACAAACAAAACACAAAAACAAAGCAATTGCCACTGATTACTTTGTTCTTGTGTTTTGTTTATTTTTTGTGCCTATTTTCCATTAAGTGCATGCAATGCTGTTTTTATTTTTGATTCCTAAATTCTGTTAGGTGTGCTCAGTCATGTCAGGGAGCATAAACATAGTCACTTTGACCCCACTGACTATTAAAAACAAAATCATAAACCCCTATTTTTTAAATTTGAATGAAACCTCATTTCATTTTTGGATTCAAGACAATTAATGGAAAATGACATAGTTTAATCAAAATCAACCAATCAAATTTTGTGATCAAATGAATTTTGTAAGTCTTATAGAAGAGGCTTCCCTAATGCTCTGCCTCAGAAATTCATCAGTACTAATTTAAAATTATATGGCTGACATCAAAGGCTCGCATAGTCTTCTTTCCTCACATTGCTATAAAATTATAATTGCAGAAATTTTTCTATAATTTTATAAAATGTGTTTCAACAGATTATTTTCAAAGGAAGACGAGATGATTAACTTTCTGTAAGTCTTATGCTTCAGATATTTTCACAACCCTTTTTAAAAGATAAATTTTGAGCAGTTAACATTTTTATCTTTATAGCTCGTCTCTAATACTATATACAGTTTCAGCCAACGAGACCGTACGGTCCTTCTTCGTTTAGAAAATCCCGTAATAAAATAGATCGTAACCGGACGAGTTTTACAAGTTGCACATTTAAAATCTTAAGCATAGCACACCTCGACAAATTAATAGAAAAAACTCGTGCGCCGACCAGTGCCACATTAGTTATTTTTTAACTTTAATAAGGAATTTTTAAACAATTATTATTTTACATTCTACATTCTATTGCTTATTTAACAGTTAAACATTTTGTATCGTATCCCCTATATACTCTTATGTAGATCCGAAGGAAGGTATTTTTCCATTACTCCTACTCTAAGGAAAAAACCTTGAAGAAACAAGTCACGTGCCAAATAATAAATAATACTAAATTGAGTTTAATTATACAATTACTGGAAAGAATAAGAGGATAATTGAACAATTAATTACGAAATGTTTTTATATTCTCTTTCAATGCTAAATATTTTTAAAGAATTGTTCTTTCTTGAAAATATTCTATCCTCGTTAATACTAATTACGTATATTTAAGGTTATTACCAACAAAGTACACGTGCATAGAAGCAATAACAATTTTTATGTCAATTTCAGGAAATGCAGAATTCTTAAACACGTGCTCTTCCAACTCGAAGATTTCCCCGCAAATAATCACGCGAATTCATTTACATCGTAGTTAAGAAAATTTCGGGCGAAAACTTACTCAAAATGGAAGTAAACAGGGCGAAAGTGAGCAACTGCGGGTATATAAAGGTAATAAAACATTCCGTAGAGAAAAACTGAAAGCCATATCAATATATTGAATGTCACTAAAGCAAACAAAAATTTGTATGCACCGCGTTTGACATCACCGATCATCTTCGACCACATTTAATAAACGATCTCATATTTAAAATACTTCCTCCTCCTCTAGTCGAACTGTCATGTGATTGCATTTAGAATTCTTCTAGTACAGCGACACCTCTCGGTAGAAAAGTTTAAACAAATTTTTAAAATTAAATTTAAATAATATTTAATTTAATTATTAATAATATAAAAATATTACATCGTTTTCATTTCTGAATAATAAAATACGAATTGTAATATATATAATATAAAATTCGAACTGCCAACGAGTTAGGAAAATTTTTTTTGTTTTTAACTCTTTCCGCCCTTTGGGCACTACGATGGCCTTTTTATTAGGTCTATCGTGGGTTCGGCCTGGTCTACAGTGGATGGAAGGTGATGAAGAACTGGACCCAAAATATCCTGGATTGTTTGCAGGGATTCGAACCCGGATACCGCAGAGTAATACGCTGACGTATTGCTCTGAACATCGTCTTGTAGGTTCGTGCTTGATCAAAGGATATCCACGTGAAGTTTTTCAGATTTTTTCCACTTATCTTACACTCCAGGACCAGTTTTCAATAGACAATCTTCTAGGGTCAAGGCATTCAATAGTCTTTATCTCATTTCCACCGCTTCCTATACTGCATATAATTCTAGATCACATATTGATTATGCAATGTCACTTTTGAACACTGTCTTATCCTTGCTATATCCTTCATTACTGCGTGCCATTATGTCTTCCCTCCTCCCTGTAGAAAGGCTATCGTTTTATTGTTGCCAGACTCTAAGCCTGTGCATTAACCAGGTTGCCGCTACCGTTTTCCGGTGCGGGATGAGGCATTCTTCTCTCTTTTCTTGGTGTGCTTGGTACTTCCGCTGCCAGTTTGGTGGGTGTTTGCGTACTGGCTAATATTTCTCTTCTTCTTACGTGACTATTTTTTTCTTATCCATACTGGGCGTTTCTTTGTCTTGTCTGAACTTCAGAAGCAGGGCCACTTGGTGGATGAAGAGTTCGCCCTATCTCTTCTCGCTTCCTTTCAAACTGTTAGTACTGCCGTAATTGTAAAATTTTTAGTTTCTCTCTCTTCTTAAATGCTCTTACTATTAATAACTCGCTGTCTCTGTAAATTTCAATTAAAGGACGCCTTCTCTCTGTCGTCTACCGCTTCTCGCACTATTGTAAGCGGTTGGCCGGTTACTTCTTTTTTCTTCTGGACGGGCATTAGGTGTGGAGGATAATGCACTGGACTCGCCCGTCCCGCAATCCTTCCGGACGTGAGCGATCGGCCAAGTGGACTTTTTCGGCTACTGCACCCTGTCTCTTTTTTTTTTTAAGGGTAATGGCCATGTTTCTGATACGGGTATCCCTCAGATGTTCGGAAACGCTTCCGAAGCGCCGTTCTAATTTGGGGTTGCCGTCAGCAGTCGGCAACCGGTTTTTCATCATGCTTTCTATAGTCTTGGTCCACTCGTGGGTCTCCGATAGGGCGAGGCGTTAGCGGTCCTCTACTCCTACCAACTGTCGCATTAGTCTATTCTTTCAAAAGTTCGGTATCCCTTACTTTTTGACTAACACTTTAACCCTCGGTTACGCGCATTAATGACTCACGCACAGTTGGCCGCGCGGGGTGCTATATAACCCTCGTGTTCAAAATTCAATTTTTCAAAACTCATAGTTTTTTTCGCGATTTTTTCATTTTGGATGTTTGTGGGCATGTGTTTTTGATGTATTAGTGAAAAAAACTACTTTAAATATATCGATTTTATTTATTCGTAACGAAAAAACAGAAAGTCCCCGTTTTTAGAAATTTTTCAAAAAAAATTGGTNGTATATAAAGGTAATAAAACATTCCGTAGAGAAAAACTGAAAGCCATATCAATATATTGAATGTCACTAAAGCAAACAAAAATTTGTATGCACCGCGTTTGACATCACCGATCATCTTCGACCACATTTAATAAACGATCTCATATTTAAAATACTTCCTTAAATAAGAAACTGTGTTTGTGTGTAACAAATACTCATACCAAATTTATTTTAAACAAAATGTGGTTGATTTATAATGTGATATTTCAATAAAAATAACCTTCTTGATGTCGTCCAGCACTGGCTAATTGTAGACTTTTAATCAATTAATCTACGAGGTGTAATAAATCTGTATAATTAGCCAGTCACGGGCTAAATCAAGAAGTATTAATCCAGACAAGAAAGTAAGAATATTTACAAAAAACAAACTTAAATTCACATAATTATAAATTGTGTTAATTAAGTTCTCTGAAATAGCAGTTAGTGACCTGGCAGGCATATATCTGCAGTGGTGTGAAACATCTGTAAGACATCGTTTAATGACAACAAAATAATTGGGCTGCAACTTGAAAAATAGTAGACCTATAAATTTCCATTGTCGTCTGTCCGTCTTTCCATAATTTCGAGAACAGTTAGCTAGTTGACATCCAAGACCAGATATGGAAACCGTAAGGGCGGGAGGCCCAATTAACTATATACGAACTTCCAACGCAAACTGGAAATCATGTTATTTCAATTCAAAACTTTTCCCCTGGAAAAAGTTAATAGATGACCAGCACAACTTTATTGTTAAAGGAAAAATATGATGTACAGAGACAAGTCACTACTAATTTGAGGTGGAGAGCATATATTTTAAATTAAATAAATAAAAAATTGCAGCCTGGCATTGTGACGATGTCACAATAGATAATTGTTCTTTGTCGGTTGTCTTGTATGATTTATACTAGGGCACTCTTCCCAAAGACAGACTTACAGTAAATTAATGAGTATCTAACTCTTAAATATTAAAAAAATGTAAAAGATGTAAGAACACAAGTGCAATAAATATGGAAATACACAGGAGAGAAAATGTTTGCTAGTGTCATTTCTTTACATTTTCCTGTTGAATATTTTGGTGCTTAATTTAAGTATATCTAGTTATTTAGATGTTGGAAGAGTTAATGCTTGTTAAAAACTTGATCCATAATTTTATAACTAGGACATTATACAATTTTGTTGTATTATGACAGAATTGAGGCAGAGCTGGAATGAAAGAAGCAATCCTTGCATCCGACGGTCATGAACAGGCAAACTTTGCACTTGCTGCCACAAGAGAGGCTATCCTTGTATCTGCCAGCCACGAGACAGGCAATTCTCACACTTGCTGGCCAAGGAGAAACAATCCTTGCACTTGTTGACACGAAGAGGCGATTCAAGTAGCAAACAAACAAAACACAAAAACAAAGCAATTGCCACTGATTACTTTGTTCTTGTGTTTTGTTTATTTTTTGTGCCTATTTTCCATTAAGTGCATGCAATGCTGTTTTTATTTTTGATTCCTAAATTCTGTTAGGTGTGCTCAGTCATGTCAGGGAGCATAAACATAGTCACTTTGACCCCACTGACTATTAAAAACAAAATCATAAACCCCTATTTTTTAAATTTGAATGAAACCTCATTTCATTTTTGGATTCAAGACAATTAATGGAAAATGACATAGTTTAATCAAAATCAACCAATCAAATTTTGTGATCAAATGAATTTTGTAAGTCTTATAGAAGAGGCTTCCCTAATGCTCTGCCTCAGAAATTCATCAGTACTAATTTAAAATTATATGGCTGACATCAAAGGCTCGCATAGTCTTCTTTCCTCACATTGCTATAAAATTATAATTGCAGAAATTTTTCTATAATTTTATAAAATGTGTTTCAACAGATTATTTTCAAAGGAAGACGAGATGATTAACTTTCTGTAAGTCTTATGCTTCAGATATTTTCACAACCCTTTTTAAAAGATAAATTTTGAGCAGTTAACATTTTTATCTTTATAGCTCGTCTAATACTATACAGTTTCAGCCAACGAGACCGTACGGTCCTTCTTCGTTTAGAAAATCCCGTAATAAAATAGATCGTAACCGGACGAGTTTTACAAGTTGCACATTTAAAATCTTAAGCATAGCACACCTCGACAAATTAATAGAAAAAAGTCGTGCGCCGACCAGTGCCACATTAGTTATTTTTTAACTTTAATAAGGAATTTCTAAACAACTATTATTTTACATTCTACATTCTATTGCTTATTTAACAGTTAAACATTTTGTATCGTATCCCCTATATACTCTTACGTAGATCCAAAGGAAGGTATTTTTCCATTACTCCTACTCTAAGGAAAAAACCTTGAAGAAACAAGTCACGTGCCAAATAATAAATAATACTAAATTGAGTTTAATTATACAATTACTGGAAAGAATAAGAGGATAATTGAACAATTAATTACGAAATGTTTTTATATTCTCTTTCAATGCTAAATATTTTTAAAGAATTGTTCTTTCTTGAAAATATTCTATCCTCGTTAATACTAATTACGTATATTTAAGGTTATTACCAACAAAGTACACGTGCTTAGAAGCAATAAAAATTTTTATGTCAATTTCAGGAAATGCAGAATTCTTAAACACGTGCTCTTCCAACTCGAAGATTTTCCCGCAAATAATCACGCGAATTCATTTACATCGTAGTTAAGAAAATTTCGGGTGAAAACTTACTCAAAATGGAAGTAAACAGGGCGAAAGTGAGCAACTGCGGGTATATAAAGGTAATAAAACATTCCGTAGAGAAAAACTGAAAGCCATATCAATATATTGAATGTCACTAAAGCAAACAAAAATTTGTATGCACCGCGTTTGACATCACCGATCATCTTCGACCACATTTAATAAACGATCTCATATTTAAAATACTTCCTCCTCCTCTAGTCGAACTGTCATGTGATTGCATTTAGAATTCTTCTAGTACAGCGACACCTCTCGGTAGAAAAGTTTAAACAAATTTTTTAAAATTAAATAATTACACTGAAAAAAGGACATAACGAATATTATGTCCTTTCTTTCAGTGTAATTATCAATATATAATTTTGGAAACACAGAATTACCAAAATACGTAATGTGAGACCCGAAAGGCCCTGGGTCTAATTTATGAATTTTTATTGATAATATTAAATTATCGACACAAAATATTACTTCATTTTTTTGTGAAAAACTAGTGTTTTAGACGTGGGAAAAACCAGATAACAGATGTTACTTCCTTTCACAGAAGAGAACA